ATTACAGCACCTCGTATTCTCAAGCAGTCACCTATCTAGGTACTTACCAGGTTTGATGTTGCTTAACTATGGTGATCACATGAGAACCTGTGTTTCAACATGATATGGCCATAATCTTTTAAGATATCATAAGAAATAAAATTCCTTTTGCATATGAAGTTGCTATATATATATATATATATATATATATATGAAGAAAAATATACTGAAAAAACAAACAAAAATCCTAATATGCAATTATGCTGTTTTAATGTTTAATGTCAACGTCGGACGTTTTGGTCTAATAGACCATCTTCAGGACATTCATAAATCAAAATAAAATTCTTTTTGTTTTTCATTCAAAATACTCAAATTTTAGGAATACGTTTTCACAATATTGCCCATGTGACGATGACGTGATCATATTTAAACGGAACGCTGATCTTATAAAAGATTTCAGTTATCTGTTTGGATTGGTATTGCTTTTATGTCCATCATCTTTTTCATGTTGAATTGTATATGGTCTATGTTAATTATGGTTTATGAATATGTCCTGAAGATGGTCTATTAGACCGAAACGTCCGACGTTGACATTAAACATATTAGTATTTTTGTTTGTTTTTTCAGTATATTTTTCTTCATACTGTCGGATCTATATCCATATATTTGCTTATATATATATATGTATGTATGTGTGTGTGTGTGAAGTTATATTTAAGCAGCAAGTTTTCATCCAAACAAGTTTGATTGAAAAAAAATACAGCAAGTTTGGTCAATTTAATTTTTTAATGTATTTTTCCAATATTCGAATAACATACTGTGTTAGGATTAAAATTGAGAATAAACTGTCCAAAATTCATGTTGGTGCTGTTGTTTTATCCAAGTAATTTCAACCATCTCAGTGATTATCAAGAAACAATTTTGTGTATGTGTGGTAGGTAGAATTCCTTTGTCACATTCTTTGGAAAGATAAAAGTTTGAAATAATCTACAGTGACATCATGCGTAAAAGTTATTGGGAGTGAGACTGCACCAAGAAGTTTGTTCTTTTTAATCAAAGATGTTATATATATGTGTGTGTGTGAATTTACTTAGTTTAGTCCAACACAAAGTCACATATAGAGAATGTGTGTTTTGCATTAATCTTCTAAGCAGGAGGAGCTGTATCCTTTCAAAAGTAGCATTTGAAATTCTGCGATTTATCTTAGTTAGGATACTGACCATTGGCACCCTGTGGGAAATATAATGATTTTCCAAGCATAGCTTAGATGCGGCACAAGGTCAAAAATATGGGGCACCCAGTGAGGATTGAACTCACTACTCAGTCATAATTGTTCTAGCAAGACAAACTTGTTAGCCATTACATCACCTCAAGGTTCTCCACCCTGTGGGAAATATATGGCTAACTTAGCTACTAACCAGGCTACATTACACACACACATTAATCAGGAAATGGTCATTCTGAACTAACTCGCTTCCAGATACTTTCACACAAATGCAGGTGTCCCCCCAAGGTTCTATCCTGTGTCCTATGCTGTTTCTGATCTTTATCAATGATCTTCCTGATGCCATCAGTTCCCATGTAGGCATTTATGCAGATAACACTAGCATTTACTCCTGTCTCTATAGGAAATCTATCAGAGTTGACAAAGTTAACCTGGTCACTGCTCTTGAAAAGGACCTCTAATCAGTGATTAACTGGGGCAGGAAATGGCTTATAAATTTTAATGCCTCCAAACCTAAACTGCTCTCATTTAAACACCATAGAGAAACTTCCTTGACTGCCATCAGCATTGCTAATACTTGACTCCAGGAAAGCATTTCACTGTGCCTTCTTGGCTACATGTTTTCAACTGATTTAAAGTGGAACAACTACATTGAATCAATAGCTGCATCTACTGCAAGGAAACCGAGTTCATTGTGTTATATCAGAAGGTTTTTCCCATCAGAGTTCATTTTGCACATTTACAAATCTACCATTTTTCTGTGCATTATATACTTGTTCCCATATCTGGTCTGGTGCTGCTGCTATTCATCCTGAGGTTCTTAACAAAATCCAAAGAAGGATCTGCGATGTAACTGATCCTGACTTGGCATCTTGACTCCAGTAACTTTCTCACAGATGTGATGTTGCTTCCTTCTGTTTTTCTACAAATATTTTCATGGCAACTGCTCTGATGAGCTTTTTTCCCTGGTGCCTTGACTACATGAATTTAAGTGTGCTACTAGGTCTCACTCTTTTATTGTTGAACTAGTCAAATGTAACCACCACTTCTACTCCAACAGTTTCTTTTTTCTCACTTCCCGACAGTGAATCTCCATTCCGTTTATTTGCTTCCCTGATAACTATAATCTTCAAAAATTTAAATGCAATGTTATTCGCCAATTACTGTTGCCTTGAACCCTGTTCATCTTTTATCCTATCCCCCCATCACACCCAGTCTTTTCTCACACTTTCACTCTCTGTAACCTCCTGCATACTAGTGGGACTCTTTCCTTGCTTGGGAGTGATATGATTAAAAAAATACACAAACACACACATATGTATACAGAGTTCCAAACAATAAATTGGAGAGCAGAGTTCATGTTCTAGTTCAGTTTTGTTACATTCACTTGGGAAAGGTATGAATCCTTTCACAGACCCTTGGTAAAGGTATGAATCCATGAATCTCCCCAACTATGGGTTAAATAGTAGAGCAAACTAGTCTCTTCAGCCTTGAATGGCAAACAGTCAAGTAGGACAACTTTGAATTCAGAACTGTATGAAGCACTTGTAAAGCATATACTATACAGCTAATGAAAGGATTGTGGAGTTTACAATGACTGTAATTGCGATCAGCATATGTCTGTCTGTATATATATATATATATATATATATATATATATATATATGTGTGTGTGTGTGTATATATATATATATATATACACACACACACACACTCTCATATATACATACACAAAGGATGCTGAAAAGTTCTTCGCCTAACCCATTTCTCAAAAATCTGACCAAATGGACAAACATCAGTATTTTTTTTTTTATAGTGCCAAGAACTTTGACATGTACCATGTTTTTTTTACAATATAAAATTTTACAAACTGTCTTTATATATATATATATATATATATATATATATATATATACATACACACAGATTTACTGTGAAAAACTAAAAACTTAAATATATCATAGGAAAGATCTGAAAGAAAGAAAAAAGATAAATATCTCCATCTTACTGAAGAGCTGAGGGAGTTGTAGAACATGAAGGTGACAGTTTTGCTTGGTGTTATCAGAGCACTGGGAACAGCCCCAAAGAGTGCTGGGAAAAAGCTGGGGAAACTGAAAATTAGGTAAAAACTTGCAAGCATTCTGAGAACAGCTTTATTGAAAACAGCTAAATGCTAAAAGTGCTGGAGTATTGAAGAGTCTTGCTGTCACTTTGACTCCATTGTAATTCACCAGTTCCAACTGGTGTAAACACTAAATGGGGAAAAAAAATAATACAGTTTGAATTTAAACAGACAAATAAATAGAATAAGCACATTCCAGAAACTTTTTTAGAAAATAGATGAAGATTCTCTATATCTGAATGTGAATAACACCATTCCAGTTGACCAGTGTGAAAATTGAAAAGTTTGAAGAGAACTAAAAAATGTTAAAATATGAAAGTCCCAATTGTAGCTACATATTTGAAACAGTCTCAAAGAACCTTAAAATAGATTAAAAGAACTGGAACCATCCAGACAACAGAATCACTAAAATCAGGTAGAATACCAAAAAGATCCCTGAAACATTAAGGGGACTTGCTGTCACTTGATCTCCAAAACCTTCCAAGATACAACACATGTGAAAATCAAAATGTAATAAGAGTATAATAATAAGAATAGTTTTGTAAATAACAATTGTAATAATCACAGCTATTATTCCAGTAATAATAGAAACACTAGGAATGATTAAGAAAAAATTCCAGGAAACAAACTATCTAAGGCTATGAACCCTGCTCACAGACTAAAAAAAAAAAAAAAAAAATAAACAAACCTAAAAATCTTCCTTTATCTTAAATTCCAGAAGATAAAGGATCAGGAAAAAAATCAGGGAAACTACTACTACTGATGATGATGATGATGATGATGGAGGTGGTTGTGGTCTTATAAACCCTAAAGAAGAGGTGAGAAAAACTAAAGATCAGAGGAAGAATTAGGACCATCCAGTTGCTAAAATATGCAAGAGATTCCTAGAATACTGGAGAGACTTGCTGTCACTTGAACTCAAATGAAAAACAGATTGGGAAAAAGTAAAAACAAAAAGGAGTAAAAATAATAATAAAAAAGAAATATCAGAATAATAATAAAAGAATACATGAATAGTAAGAGAAATAAAAAAGAAGAGATGGAGGAGGAGGAAGACGAAGGTTTCTGGTTTCAAGCTAGTCTGCAAGAGTGTTAGGTAATAAATTAAATTGAATCCTCATAAGTGTCCAGTTGTTGTGACCTTTTAACAAATGAAGCTCAGTTTAGTAAATACCTAGAATAATAAGATATTAATAAATTTATTATTATTAATATTGGAGAAATTAATGCAAATAAAAATTGAAAAATGAAGGGGGCAATAGTAATAATGATATGAAAAACCACAAACTATTAATAATAAAAAAATTAGACATGACATACAGAATGTTTTAGAAATATATACCTCCAGGTAAAATCTGTCCAGTGTAATAATGCCAGTATGTCAGACAAGTGCAACATTAATAAGAAGCCTACCCTTCTTAATGAAACAAGTTCAAATAAGTATTTTATACTTAGTGCCAAGCTAATTATTTAGTGATGGCAGGAAGTCTGGGAGTTCTTTGACACGGTAGGACATCTTACTTCCTCTTATTTCACAACAGCAATCACATGAGAATCTTAGAAAATGAATCACTTAACCACAAAGATCCCTGTTTTTTTCTTTCCCCCCATTTCAAGACAAATGGGCTAGACTTCATTTTGACCTAACTTTAATCCACCTTTGTAAACATCAATTTTTATATCAATAATAAATTAGGGAATTACTTCATCCTGAGTAATGAAAATCTAAGTCTGTATTAGTTTATAGTCACAGTATTTACTATTTAATCTTAGATTTTCTTCGCTGACTTTGTTAAACATTTGTTGAAATTACATAAATGCAGTAAAACAATCCTTGCTTTAAGATTTTCAAAAAAATAAGTACTTATTACCTCCCTTTGATTGAACTACATATTTTATTTATTTATTTATTGGCATTCACTAAATATATTTATTATTATTAAATCTCTCTTGATCTAACTAGTGACTTTTTCTTTTATTCATATAATGTAAAGACAGTTTATTTAAGCTTTTCTTTTGAACAAGAGCTGATCTACACCTTATTTGAAAACTAATCTGAGAAATTTAAAAATATATCTAAATAAAAAAAATCATATTAAAAAAATAGGCTGTTTAAATTTAATGAAACAAGTAAAACATTTTATCATTGTTGAAATATTGATATTTATTAATCTTAGGTTATTATGGAACAAGGCAAAACGAGGGGAATTTGGGGTAAGCTAATTGTATTGCATGCGATTCTACTTGTAAAATCATTTGAAATGCTTGTCTTTAGCTAGGCTTGAAAACTGATCTCTGGTATTAAATATGAAAGGTAAAATTCACTAAATTTTCTAAAATATTAACTTTCTCTCAAGATTTTCTGCCTGAATTTCTAAGATGAGAAACTATTATTATTATCGCCTGATTTATTCAAATTGGTGTCTGCATCTAAGTTGACATTATCATGTTTCAGCCATTATATCTGTTAGCTTTCTAGAAATTTATAAGTGAACCCATTACTAAATAAAATGCAAAAGGATGTATTATAATAATTCAGATTTTGGGATGCTAATTCTGCTCATTCCCTTAAACTGAAATACATGAATTTTTGACAATTAGGTCAAATTTGAACTTTTTAAACCTAACATCTGTACTAAGTCAAAATTAAGGATAAAAATGAAGATTTAGGATATTTCCTGAATGCTTCACAGATCTGGTTTATTTATGTATATGTAGGGCATAAGAAATGATTTAAAAAAATATGTCTGAAGCAATGAAAGAAGAAATATCTTAGGTATACATAGCAGATGATCTTCTCTAAATATTAAGGTGTTCAGAAAGAAATTATGTATTTTCCCACTATGAATTTGCAGTCAACCAAGGCAGAACCAAAGTTGAATGGTAGGAAAGTAGAATTCTATCTAGAATTAATTTAACATCTCTTCAATTCAACAGTTTGTCATAGTGTATTTCAGAGTTTAATTGGGAAGCATTATATTGAAAGTATACTGCTTTGGTAAACAGAAAAGGTGTTATTCTTCAACATGACAATGCAAGGGAAAATACTACAAAAGAAACCCCTCAAAAAATAAGAGTGTTAAGATGGAAGGTTCTTTCACATCCTCCATACTCACTAGATTTAGTACAGAAAGATTTTTATTTGTTTTGATCACTAGAAAATTTTGTAAGTGGCAGAACAGAAACAAAGAAGTTGAAAAGTCTTGAGGAAAAACAGCTTTTTTTTAAAATGTGAAATCAAAAAAATGCCTCACAGTCATTGAAAATAAAAGATGATTATAGTTTTGATAAATAATATTTAAATACATTTAAGCTACATTTCCTAAATATCTTAATTAATTCTTATAATGGGTAATTATTGTTAATTGCTTAAAGCATATAACCATTAGATAAATAAAAATGTACATAATGTTTTTGAAAGATGAAGATTCATTTACTCCATATATGAAGTGTTCAATAATGAAGGGTTTTAACATCATATTATTAATTTTCTTTTTATAAAAAAGAATATTGTATAAAATTTGATAAAAAATATTTCTCTAACCAAGAAACATGTCAACAAGTAAACAATGTGGCTTAAATTGCTTCCTCAGAGACTAGCCATTACAGTGAAAAATGCCATGTCAAAAATACATGGTAAATGATCTTTAAAGGTTTTAAATTTCATGTAACTCTCAAAATTTTAGTTTATGAATTTTTTATGGACAGTGCATTTCAGTGTCACATATGTCTTCATGCCAGATGAGGTGAGGTTTAGTAAATATAAAAGAATGAATTTACATATACTTTTAAGAAAAATGATGGCATTTGTTATGAATAATCAAGAGTTGTATCCCCTTATTTTGTTACTCTCCTCTTTGAGAGAACTTTTTTCTGTTTACTGGGACTATAAAAGGACACTATATGCGAACCTTGTATTCTCAGTTGAATAATGCTTTCTTAAAGCCTACAGCTGCATACTTTTGTCATTACAGCATTATTAAACTCTGTAATTCCATTGTATTTATATATCAAAAACTTGTTATTTCTCATTTTCTTGTTTATGTTAATATTTCCTAAATATTAAACCAAGCTAATAGTAAATTGACAATTGATCCTGTGATTTGTCCTGTTGCTATAACTGAAAACATAATGAATTAAACTAATTATTAATTTATATTTTAATGCAATGTTCCTTCAGGACAAAGAGAATCATGGCTTTCCATAGCTTCCTTTTTTTTAATATTTGTCAGCTAAACATTGTTGTTGGAAAATATAGTAGAGAGGTTTCACATTGCCTTCTCCATTATTTAATCTTACTATAAAATTGTATTTTTCTACAGAACCAAATCAGAATAAGAGTTTAACACAATATTTCTAGTATAAAAATATGGCACTTCACAATATCATCAGAAGAGTCCACTACATAAAGATGTATTAATTGTGGACTCTTCTGTTGATGTAGAAAAGTTTGACATACCAAATAACATGTGTGCGTGTGTGTATGTGTGTGTGCATTCTGTATTTCTTTCCAAATAAAAGCATTCACAGAACAAAACAAAGCAAAGCAAACAGTATTCATTTCACATTGAACTAGATCTACTCTAATTACAGCCATGCACATCCTGTGAAGTTTCTTTTGTGAATTATTTTGTTTACATCCTGAGCATAAGAAAATCTTTTAGTAATCTCTAGATAAGAGATTTAATAACAATATATAAGCAAAAGAAAATATAATAAATAATAACAATGATGAAAATATTTAATAAATTTTATTAATTTTAGATTGAAGAATATTTTATTGTTTTCAAAGAAAATATTCATGCAAATATCTAAGGTTTAAAACTTTTAAATAACATCTTAAGAAAGTAACAACAAAAAGTGTTTATGCTTGTTTTGCTAACAACAAAATAATTGAAGTATAAATGAAAATTCAGAGACTTTCAAACTTGCATCTTCATCTTGGTCACTTTTATCACAATATCCTTATTTTCCAACCATCTGAACATGTCTGTTTTATGTTGAATAATATACTTTATTTCTTCAGTAAGGAAACTTATACTTAGAATCAGAAAGAGACATGTAATGAGGAAAGAGAGCTTGGAGAATTTAACACCACATATGCTGAAGGTAAGAGAGGCAGAGGGAAACCTCAAGAAGCCTACCTAATGATCTTGTGAAAATGGATGACAGAACAAGGAGTGGGAGGGATAACACGCAAATATTGCTAAAAGATACAAAGGATAGAAAGTTGTAGAGAGTCATGATCACCTGATCAAGACACTGCACTGAAGAGACCCTCTGGGCAGGGTTGTTGGGAACATTGTTTTCAAACTTGTATTATTATTATCAGGTCTAACACTATTTTTCCTATGAATTTTCACATTTGGATGAACAGAAAGGGTTCCAGTAAAGGTTACCAGAAATGATAAAAATCTGAAGAATGTCAAAGGAGACATTGGCTGAAATATTATGATAAAAACAACTCATAAGAAAATGCAAGTACAGAAGAATTAATGCATAAGAACAGCACCTTGTCTCAAAAATTACCAAGATGAGAATGTTAGCCTGAAATAAACATTGTCTAATAGCAATTGCAATATCTCAAAATTCAAACAGACATAAGAAATTATTAAAAATATACTTTAACAATTAAGAACTAACATTCTAAACTTCTTTATACAAAGAAACAGATATAAATGGAAATTAAGATTGAACAAATATAAAACATTATATAAATAATGAACAAATTGTTTAATAATTGTAACTATATAATACTTATGAGTTCAATCTCTGGGCCAGGTTGTGCAGACTTAGACTTAATGGAGGCAAAGTGACCCTAGATATGGGAAGCAAAATGAGAACAATCTATCATTCTAGGTTAAATAAAGGGTTCAGTTTGAAATTCTCTGATGGATTGACAGATATCTAAAGAAGGCCAGAGAGTCCAATGGCTGAAATGTTGCAATATCAACAACATGAGGATTTAGTTTGAAATTCTCTGATGGATTGACAGATATCTAAAGAAGGCCAGAGAGTCCAATGGCTGAAATGTTGCAATATCAACAACATGAGGATTTAGTCTGAATGTAAATAATATAAATAATAAGTCCTTACCCTAAAAATTCAGACAGAAATTAATAAAAAAGCTGATATTGGAATAACCATTTTTTTTTTACTTTTCTTGCAAGACAAACAAATTTCTCATGAAATACTTTGTAAACCAATCCAAAGTGATTAAAACAGATCATTTTAAATTTTAATATAATTTCTGAAAGATAACATATAAAATAATACAAATTACTATTTTTTTAAACTAAAATAGACATAGAAATATGTTTAAAATTGATATTTGAGAAATATGCCTAAGTTAACTTAATCCAGAAAATAACATCATTACTAATGCCTATAGGTTAATATTTAAGGAATTTAAAAATAATAACAAAAACTAGTATTTAAATATAAATGTGGTTCTCTAAGTAAGCCTTAAAGACAAATAATAGAATTTGCAGAAAATCAAATGTACTCAAATGTTGTCATGACATCATTTGAATTAATGTCTTGTTTTAATAATAAAAATCCCTTGACTGATAATGTCAAATGTCATCAGAATACATACAAGTAAAGATTTGAAATAACGATTTGAGAAGAAGAGAGGGGAATGTAAAGAAAGAGTGAAATTGTTACCTCTTCTTAGTAATAACCTCCGAGGTCTTCTGTATCTTACTATTTCCATCAGAATCAATGGATGTCACTTATGAAAATGAAGATATTGATAGGAATAGTAAAAAAAAGAAAGAAAAAAGAGAAGTCATCATCTAAACTATGATTAAGGAGTGATCAGTAAATTCCAGAGAGTGGAAATAGACTGAATCCCCCCACACTCCCTTCACCTCCATCCTGTAAGGAAACAAAACCATTGACAAAACCATATACACATATCTTAAAAGTTGAAGAGAAGAAATATACGAATATTCAGCACATTGCTGTGGCTTTTTTTTTTCAGGAGAGAAAGAGAGAAAAGAGGAGAGAGAAAAATAGAGAAAAGAGGAGAAGGAGAAAAAAAGGAGAGATGGAGAAAAGAAGAGGAGAGATGGAGAAAAGGAGAGATGGAGAAAAGAAGAGAAGGAGAGATGGAGAAAAGAAGAGAAGGAAAGACGGAGAAAAGAAGAGAAGGAAAGACGGAGAAAAGAAGAGATGGAGAAAAGAAAAAGACAGAGAGAGAGTGATAGAAGGAGAGAGGGACAGATGGAGAGAAAGAAATGGAAAAGTGGAAGGAGAGGTAGAGGGGGAAATGTAAAGAGAGAAAGAGAGAAGAAGTAGAAGCTGAAGGAGAGGTGGGAAGAGATGGAAAAAGGAGAGAGATTAAGAGATAAAGGAAAAGAGAAACATAAAAAAGAAAGGAAGAGAAGTAGAGAAATAGAAACAAAGAGAAAAAGGAAAATGAATAAGAGAAAGAGAAGACAAGAGAGAGAGAGAGAGAGAACTAAAAACTGAAAAAAGGCAATAGTAAAACACAGTGATTAAATTAAAAATAGAGGAAGAAATGACAGAAAAAAGTAAACAAAATAGTTGGAGAAATAAAAAGTACAAAGAAGGAAACAGAAAGTAAAAAGAAGAAAGTGAGATAGAGAAAACAGGAAAAAGAGAAAATTATAAGCATAGACAGCATTAGAGATATGAGGAGAAAGTGACATAGAAAGAAATAAAGATAGCCTAAAAAATAGATATAAAGGCTGAGATATGGAGATGGTAAGAAAGAAAAGAAGATAAAGACAAGGAGACAGAAATAGTAAAGAGAGAGAGAGATAGAGAAAGAAAGAAAGACAGAAATCTAGAAAAGAAAAAAAGAGACAAAGAATAGGATAAGGAAAAATTAAGATGGTAAAAGAAGAAAATATATTTTAATTAAATAAGCAATTAATGATAAAAAAAAAAAAGTAAAGCAGTTGTTTTTTATTTTTTCGATAAAAGATACAAAATTTGCACAAGATTTAATAATAAACACCTCAGTTTATATTTTATCAGAGTTAAATCCGTCATAAAACTCATACATTGGAACAAGACAAATGCATTTGCTATGTTTTTTTCTTGCATCTTCTGCACTTCCTTACAAATGAAAAACACAAAGTTATTTTGTTACACTTAATATTAGTCAGCTTAATAAAGTCTCCCTTTTTGTATTAAAAAAAGGTTTTTCCTCTTTAAAATAAAAAGAAAACTTGTTGACATTTGATCTAACAGGTTAGAGTTTTATTTCATATCAAATCTTTTTCAAATCAAGATCCATTCTTTTTTTTATTACAAACCCAAAGAAAAGCTTCCATTAACTGCCATCTTATTTAACACATTCTAATGAAAGAAACATTTGAAAAAAGAAAATAAACAAATAAGTACCCACTTCTTTAGAAAATCAGATCAGCATCATGTTTTTAATTTTCTGTTTCATAAATCAGGAGAAAGTATCAGTTTAGTCATGTCTCTATTTTTGTTTTTTGACTTCTTTCACATTTCCAAAATTAAATCTTGTAATTTTTTTACAAGGTTTGTTGACTTCTTTAAATGTTCTTGAAGTCTGCTTATATTTTCCTGACTCTCAAATTTCAGTTCTTTGGAAATCGTATTCTAATCAGAAATACTCAGCTTCATTAAAGAATGACACACATTGACTCAGATACGTTTAACTTATCTAACAAGGATGATGACTCTGCTTATTTTGTTTTTTTTTTTTGTTTGTTTTTGTATTCTTCCCCCTCCTTGTTTTGCCATCCATTTACAAAAGCTCATTAAGTAGGTTACTCACTGTTTCCTTCTGTCCCTCTTGCCTTCAATATAATCTGTAAGTGTCAAATTCTCCAAGCTTTCTTTCTTCATTATGTAACCTGTTCTTGATTTACTAAACCAGCACACTGTAGATAGTAACAACTTGGTTGTTTTTTTTTGTTATGTTTTTAATACTTGTATTTGCCCAATACAAGTTTTGAGAGCCACCCAATGTAGAAGGTTAACGTTAAAATGATAATGATGAATAAGATGTGTGATACAAGTGAAGATTATGAAAATGAGGACAGACAATGACTGACCATTGACTTATAGAGATTAAGATTGTAATGTTTAGGGATGAAAAAAATGTAGGAATCTGTTCCACAAAGTGGTAGTTCTTTGGAAATAGCTGTCCAAATATAACTTTCTTTTTATGTTTGGAACAGGGGGGAAACAAAAATGTTTTGACTCTGTATAAGTAGCATGTAGGTATGCTAGTAGTAAAGGTCTGAACCAGTGGAACAAAAGAATGGAGTTTATCTGAACATCTGCCATGGAAACACTAATAAAGTAGTGATAGGCTTTCGCTATTGTATCTGTATGGAAGGAGCTGGAAAATGGAGAATATGAATAATGCCATCAAAGAGTATCACACACTATTTCTAGACAAATGAAGCAATTTCTAACAAAATTGATTGAGATATAAAGTTTGCTATGCTTGCATAAAGGCTTATAAAACATTCACTTGTGACAGAGGTGATGTGAAGTTGACCTTGAAGGTCATTTGCAGTCACCCCCAGTCATAAAAGAGCATAGCATGCCATTTCTATTCAAATTAAATTTCTAGCACAATAGACTGAACTATTGAATTTGTGGCAATGTTTAATCGTTGTGCCCTCAAAAAAAAAACATTGTGTCAAAAATGACAGTCATTCCCTTGACACTGCTTTAATGTATCCATTTCTGACACACTTGGCAATGTTTATTTACAAGATTATAAAAATATAAATACAATGTGATATTTATTATTTACCTTTTATAAAGATTTATTATTTACTATTTTATAAAGAAATATATTTGAAAAGAAATAGTTTTATTCAAAAATTTATAGAAAATTACAAAATTATCAAAATATGGAAAAGGGAGAGAAGCTCTCAACCCATTTTAGTGAATTTATATGGGGAGAACAAATGAAAGAAATGCCCAGAAAATGTATTTCTTTCAAAATTTATAATGATAGTTGCTTGTTGTTATGTGTTTATTTAAATTTTCTTGTTCACTGATATTTTTATAAATTTATGAATAAAAATTTTTTTTTTTCTTAATTTATTTCGTAATAAGTTGGTAAATAATAATTTCATTATAGTTGGTTCATGTATTTTAAAATCTTGTAAATATAAAATTATTCTTGTAATTAAGCAATCTAATAAATAATGTTTAATATTTTTGTTGTCAATTCTCAAAAATAAAGGAAAGATATAAATCTACTTTCATACTTTATTAAAATTCTAATTATCACTTTTAAAACAATAAATATTGTTAAAGAAGTAAAAAGTGTATACAGTAATAGCAGTGTCAAGGGAATAACTGTGCTTTTCACAATCATTTTTTTTCAGGCATGAAGATTAAACATTGCCAAGATGGCTATACAAAAAGGTTTTTGACTTGGGTGGATTCGGTCTAATTTGACTACCTATCCTATTAAATTTTTCTGTCCAAATGACACTCACATACCAATTTGCCTTCCAGAATGAAATTGTTTAACTGCAAACTAATTCTAACTTCAATGATTTCTGGCACAAAGACATTCTGACTTCAATCTGATTTTTGCATGTTTTCCCTATGTTGGCTCTTTTAGGGTTTGATGCTGAAATAACCTTTTCATACCAGAACCCAATTGAAGAAGTACCCAAAAGCTGAAGCGGCTGCACAGATTGATTTGTTGAAGGTCTCAAAATATAATTTCAATAACACCAACTTTTTGTCTAAATAATCTTTTTTCATTATCTAAGAAGAAATATATGGAAGAACATCTTTTTGTGTTGTATTTGAACTTTTTTTTTTTTAAGCATTTCACCTCTAGCAAGGCGGGAAGCCACTAGCACACAAGGGGTTATAGAGGATTTGGAGCGAGAGCAGATAGGAATGATATAGGAATGATAGAGGAAAGGATGTGGAGAAGGATGGTGGATAGATCAAGGCAACTGGAGATGTCAATTGACATTACATTTGAATAGTTGGAGATTATAGCTTTCAGGGAAACAGGAATAGGGAAGGGAGTTCCACAGGCTAGAGGTGTGAGATATGAAGCTATTGGAGTAGAAGAGGCGGCTACATTTAGTAGTTTCAACAGTGAAATGGTGAGAGTGGGATGCCAGCCTCGTAGGACGCTTGAATTCGTGAAGTCTGGGAACCAGCAAAAGCAGCTCATCGGAGCAATTACCATGAAAGTATTTGTAAAAAAGACAGAGACAGGTGACAGCATGTCTGCGAGAGAGCGACTGCAGACAAGATGCCAGAACAGGGCCAATTATATTGTATATCCATTTCCGGATCTTATCAAGAACCCCAAGGCAAACAGATAGGGCTCCAGACCCTATATGGCAGCAATACTCCATGCAAGGGCGAATGGTTGATTTGTAGATTTGAAGGATCGATTCCGGGGAGAAAAATTTCCTGGCGCAGCACAGAGAGCCAACTTTCCTTGCGGTGGACGAAGCAATAGACTCAATGTATTTGTTCCATCTCAGGTCAGTAGACAACGTGAGACCGAGCAGCCACAGAGAGGTGCTCTCGGGAAGTTGAGCGTCAGACATTCTAATGGGGAGGCAGGGAAGGATCTCTGTGGTGATTAAAAGAGAGCAGTTTTGTTTTTGAGGTATTAAAGTTAACCAGCCAATTACTGCCCCAATTCACAACGGATTGGAGGTCCTTTTCGAGACGAACGGCCAGGTTAGTTTTGTCAGAGACACTAGATTTGTTTTTGAGGCAGGAGTAAATTGTAGTGTTGTCCGCGTAGATGCCTACTTGGGAATCAATGGTGTCAGGAAGATCGTTGATGAAGATAAGGAACAGAGTAGGGCCTAGGATAGAGCCTTGGGGAACACCTGCGTTCGTGGGATAGGAACTGGAGGAGAATCCGTTGAGAACGACCTTCAGTACACGGTTTGACAGGAATGATTGTATTATGTCAAACAATCGACCTGTAATACCATAACCCTGGAGCTTGCGAAGAAGGCCAGCATGCCAAACCCTATCAAACGCTTTGGAGATATCTAGGACCATGGCACGAGCTTCTCCGTTATTCTGAAGTCCTTGGTAAACAATTTCAGTGATGGCCGTAAGCACATCAGCTGTAGATAGGGCAAAGCGGAAGCTATATTGCTTGTCTGAGAGCAGATTATGGGATGTAAGGCGGTTAACCACTTCGGTGTTGATTAAAGCTTCAAAAACTTTGCCAAAGAGGGGTAGGTGACTTATAGGATGGTAATAAGAAGGGTCAGAGAAATTGCCGGAGTTCTTAAAAACAGGAACAATCAAAGAGGACTTCCAGCAGTCTGGAAAAGAAGATTCCCTGAAGCAGTAGTTGTATAATTTGGAGAGGGCAGACACCAGTTTAGGCGCACATTTCTTCAAGACAATGGCTGGTATCCTATCTCCACCACTAGCCTTGTGGGGGTCTAAATTAGAGATAATGCCCAATAACAATGACGGGGTTATGTGCAACTCACTCAATAGGGCCTCAGTTCTATGAGGGAAATCGGGTATGGGTACACCGGAAGAGTCGAGCGTTGAATTGAATGAAAATTTCCAAGCAAAGCATTCAGCTTTGTTGGCAGAGGAGGTCAGGACCTCAAACTGGTTGAACAAAGGAGGTATAGAGGGTTTGCTACTGTTTAGTACGCTCTTGCAGAGATGCCAATAATCCTTGGAGACGAATTTGCGAAATGCAATACATTCCTTCATTCGAGCAGCAAATAGCAACAGCTTCATTGAGGACACGCTTACACTCATTATGGGCAGAGGCAAAGAGACGTCTATTGCTGTTGGACATGTCACTACGATAGAGGTGGAAGAAGTGGTTCCTACGGGCAATGGTGGCTGAGCAAGCTGCAGCGAACCATGGAGAGGAGCACGATTTGACCTTAAGTTCCATTGAGGGGATGAAAGCGTTGATTCCAGCTTTGACCCAGGAGGAGACCTCAGAAGCACATTCTTGAATGGGGAGCGTAAAGACAACATCCCAGGGGACATCGTGGAGGAAATCATGGAGCGAGTGCCAGTCAGCTCGTTGATAGCAGAACGAGGTTCTAGAGGTAGGAGGTTCTTTGCAGGAGGTGGAGTTGAAGGAGATGCTGACAGACACTACAGTGTCATCGGAGTTATCAAGAGGGCAGAGCTGCGAGCCGCTACAAGACTCAGGGATGGAGGTAAAACACAGATCCAGAAGAGAGGCCTTACCATCTCGGTTGTAGGAAAAACTAGGGAAGTCAACATTTTCTGACTTACAGGGATATACCAAGTACTCTTTCTTTATATATATATATATATATATATATATATATATGAAAACA